GTGACTGTTTCGTCTCTGCTGGTTTGGGCCTCTCTGCTTGGTCAGAGGTTGACCCCGGCGAGTCGCTCAATAAAATGCATCGACCGAAGGCCGGCGGTGTTGGGAGCTCTCCGCGAGGGCAGCAGCCGCCCCTCGGGGCGGGAGGGCGACCTCTGGGTGTCGTGTCCTTCCCGGGTGCGGGAAGGGGAACGCTGCCAGTGCCTGTGCCAGCCCGGAGGAACGGCCTCCTCCCGGTGCCCCTGGCCTGGCGGGGTGGTAAAGCCCCCTCTGCGGGGGGATCCCAGGCTGCTGCTAGGAGATACAGGGCTGGTTTTGGGGGAAAATATGTGCTTGAGGGAATTCTTCATTGAGCATTTGGATCTGTGGTGAGCAGCTTGTGCTGGCCCTGCTCTTGGGCCTTGGGAGTGGAGTGCTCCTGTCCCCCCGTGGCAGGGACACTTTGGGGCTCCTGTCCCCGTGGCAGGGACACTTTGGGGCTCCGCTCCTGTCCAACCCAACGCCTGCAAGCGAGTTCATCTTCCTGGAGGGCTGGGGGCTGTGCGTGGCGTGATCCTGGCTCCCCCCCTCACATCCACCGGCCTGACGCTGACCCTGCCTGGCTCCTGGGGGACTTGGTGTGACAATGCCACCACCCGCTGCTGCAAATTCCTGCAGGAGGGGTCTCTGTGCAGCCCTGGCAGAAAAACAGGGTCCAGAGGTTCTGCAAGCGAGTTCATCTTCCTGGAGGGCTGGGGGCTGTGCGTGGCGTGATCCTGGCTCCCCCCCTCACATCCACCGGCCTGACGCTGACCCTGCCTGGCTCCTGGGGGACTTGGTGTGACAATGCCACCACCCGCTGCTGCAAATTCCTGCAGGAGGGGTCTCTGTGCAGCCCTGGCAGAAAAACAGGGTCCAGAGGTTCATCCCTGTGGCCGAGCCGGCGACGGGGCTGGAGCAGCAGAAAGGCAGCGTGACAAGGCAGCTGTGCTCGGCAGGAAAGGATTTATTTCCATGCAGGATGCC